TAAAATAGAAAATATTATGGGAGAAGAAAGGGATTAAAATAAAGAAAGCCAAAAGGGAACAGAATTACAGAAAGTTCAAGAATGAGTGATAATTCTTATAAGCAATTATTTTCTAAAATAATTTTATTCTAACACAGTTGTTTAATAATATATACTTCACTCAACATTCTGATTTTCTTCTTCCACTTTCACCCAACTCAGTGCTATGAGAAGGGAATGATATTTCTCAGTCTTAAGATATTTCTTAGAAGGGCACGGAGCCTAGACTAAATCATGCTATGCATTTCTCAGCCTCAAAAGCATTGCACAAGTGACATATGATTAAAGCACAATCTTGAAGGAGAATTTTTAGAAAATTGTCATACCATCCTAAAGTGAGTGTGGCTTAGATAAGGTGAGTGTAAGATTGCTTAATTGTTGATTATAAGCCTCAGAACTTTAACAGCATAAACTGGTCACACTCAGTCCACAAACCCTGTACTTGGTCCTCCTCCCATCCCAGCTGGAATTCATCAATCTTATTCCTCAATCTCTAAGGTCAATTCAGACTTTAGGCCAAAATTTTCACTAGTTCTTTAGCCTCACTCATGAGAGCCTCTCTTACAACTCACCTGGTGCCAACTCAGACTTGGTCTTGCACTCTGGATCTCTAATCTTCTGATTTGTTCTCCTGGGCTAGAGTACCAGTGCATCTGCTTAATACCTAAGTCCTTCATGACCGGGTCCTCACCTATCTTTCCTCTTCTAATTTTCTTCTCTATCTGCATCAACCCCACTATGCACCCTCCCATTTCCCCATGACACACACTGGCACACACACACACACACACACACACACACACACACACACTAGTGGAAGCTAGTGGATCCAACTGCCTGCTGTCTGGACACATGCTTCCTCCATCACTTAATTACCAAATGCTCATAGATTACACTATCCCTTATTGTAGGAGATACTGTTCTGTTTAACTGAGTTTCTCCATTCCAGGGGAAGAATGCTGTTTCAAATGCCAGTCCTTCCTGCTACAGGGAAATGGGCCTCCATACTAGATATGAGGTGATCCACCTCCTAGACTAACAATATCACAGAGCCAACACGACCATGCCCTCCATTCCTAACCCATGAGCAATTACTCTAGAAATGGCTCTGCTCACTCGCGATATGTATCTACGATAAAAATTATATTTTATTTTGACATATAAATATTTTGATATTCTAATTATCTCATTTAAATTTCACCAAATATCAAGACACTCCCCTAAGTACAAACAGAGTAACAACTTTGAGATCCTGGTGATGGAGATGGACCTAAGTTAGCTCTCCCAGCTATCACCACTTCCCACAGAGTGGTCCTGAGCCTTACGGATCAAGAAGCTAGCTTTTTCAGATTCCTCAAAGCTGCTTGGGTGATGGGACCTGTTTTAAACCAAATCCCCAGAAAACTGGCACTTAAATCAAATTTTAAGTTTAATTCATGGAAACATCA